CAGGCTCCGTTATGGCAGGTTATGCGGCCGTGCTGGAGCCTCGGCCGCATAATCTGCCATAATCTGCCATAACGGAGCCTGATGCCTGGTTCTGGTGAAAGTCGGCCCGGCTCGCGGCAGGGGCCCATCTATGGGCCCATCTCTATGCTGTTGTTACGCCACTGATCGGCTCCATTCTTACCTCTTCTCCCGCTGATTGGCCGATTGGATGATGACAGGCTTCCTCACCAGTCACTCCTGACTGGTGAGGAAGCCTGTCAATCATCCAATCGGCCAATCAGCGGGAGAGGTCAGAATGAAGCAGATGACAGAGGAGGTCGCGGCCATCTTGCTTGATTGAAGACGCGATGGAGGTCCTGTGTGCGGCGGATCCGGGTCCCTGAAGATGGCGGACGCGGCACAGGTACTCGTTTTATGTTTTGGAGTATTTGCACAAGTACGAGTACTCATGCAAATACTCGGTATCGCGGCCGATACCGATGCTTGTATCGGTATCGGTGCATCCCTAGTCTGATGTTCGCTCTGAGGTTGAGGAAGGGAGTAACATGAGCCTAGAGAGAGGGGGTGCCAATGATGGACAACAAACCAGGCCCAGCATACTGCCAAGTTGGCTCCAGTGATGAGGACAGAGGGGATGATGATGAGGAGGTCACTGACTCTACTTGGGTGACTGATAGAACAGAGGAGGAAAGTGAGGGGGAGGCACAGCCCCAACAAGGCAGGATGTCCTCCAGGGGCAGCCATAAGAGCAGCAACCCTATTGCATCAGACGACAGAGCTGCACAGGTGCAGGGCGCTGTTGTCTCGCAGCACACGTCCAGGAACTCTATCTTGGAGTTTTCCAGCACATGTGCAGCAGACCGCAGCATTGCTATTTGCAATCTGTGTCTCAAGCGGATCAAGCGTGGCAAAAACATCAACCGCTTGGGTACCACGTGCTTGAAGAGACATCTGACCACCTGTCACGCAGCCCATTGGCAAGAGCACCAGAAAAAGGTCCACACTTCTCCTCGCTGCTCATGTGTCATCTCTACCCCCACTATAAGTCATGCCATGTCAACATCCTCCACTGAGATGGATGATGGTATAGTAATGGGTGTCACAGCAGTGACAGCTAGCTCCGCCCAACTGTTTCCTATTAGCCGGGACCTGCTAGAGTCTCCTAGCAGGTCCCGGCCAATGAATAACAACTGGGCGGAGCCGGCCGTGACGTCAGTTGTTATTGTTTAATGAGAGATCAGCATCCCCAGGTCATTTGGGGATGCTGATCTGTCATTACAACTGGGCAGAGCAAGTTGTGAGATCACAGCTGGCTCCACCTAGCGGTCACTTGTGGGGCGAACGGGTGGCCTTGTGGCTGTATCCTTTGGCTCAATAGTGAATAACCCCCTAAGTGATGTTAAAACTGTATTAAAAAAAAATTGATTCATGTGCCCCAGGGCAGAAATCCTAATACTCTTTTTATGGCCAATAAAATGCATATAAGGTTTCAAAATGGGGTCAGTTGATTTTTAAAGTTATACCCCCAATAGACTTGCATAGACCCCCATAGAGTTCAAACTTTTCCCATGTTCTAAAATTTGAATTCAAACCGAACTCGTGGGTGTTCGGCTCATCACTATCCATCACTATGACTGGTTGCCTCATTGAAAAATAGGAATTTGTGGGAAGCAAGGAAGTGATTTGCCCATTCAGAATGGCTGGCATTTAGTCAGATGTGATTAAGAGCAACTGCAGATATGTGCAGCCACTCAAAGGGCTTGTATATTTTCTCATTTGTAAAGGAACACAGGATACAGTTATTAAGAGACAATTGGGTTTTACTGCAGCCTACAGGAAAACATGGACACTGGTAAACGGAAAAAAAAAAAAGCTGCTGAACAGACCGGTATTACCCATCACCGGCATTCTCAGTTTTTTGCTATTGTCCTGGGAATATGGACTTCTTTTCACAACTGAGAAAAGTTTACCCATTTTACTAGCCATTTTATTTTTGTAACTGTATCTATCCATTTTCCTACTTTTCAGTCTAGTTCTGTTAAACAAACAGCTTTCCCAAGTCACAGGGCAATCTCTGTGTGGGTCATTCTTTTTAATCTGACTTCCACTGCACTTTTACTGAGTGTGCAATACCTTCATCCCCAGAAGAAATGGAGTACACCACCTGTAATTGACTAGTCTCTGCCTCCTTAGGGTGGACAGCGTTCACAGTGTCATAGTGTGCACACTATTTCCATTTAGGACTTAAAATCTTGCTTTTGTATCCCTGCATCTGATTTTTTCCCTCACCTTAAACAGTGAGGATTCTGATCACTAGGTTCACCGGTTCGATTCGAACACAAGTTCGAAACGAACATCGGCTGTTCGTGGTCTGTTCGACACAGGTCAGGTGCAAGACTTTGCCCAATCAGGGCTCAGTACTCATTTGGAGCCATGATTGGGCAAAGTCATGATGACTCTGCCCAATCATGTCTCGCCTATCAGATGACAGCAAACTACACAATTGGGCGGAGCTAGCTGTTAGGGCATTCTTGTCAAAAACATGTCTTGTTTTTTTTCCCGGTGACGAGGGAGCATAGAGTCTGCTTTCCAGCCAATCTGGAAGCAAGGCAGCGTGTAATGACTCACTGCCCGGCTTCCTGTTACCAGACGCACCAGTATCCGGAGCATTTGAGCGAGTATGAATACTCTCCCAAATACTTGGTATTGGCACCGATACCGATGCTAGTATCGGTGCATCCCTAATACATATATACAGTATATCTCGCAAAAATTACGTCGGGTACACTATATGCATGTGTCGCAATGTGGCATCAATAGGGGTATAAAGCTCCTCTAAATTAAAACTCATGCTTATTTTGAGCCTTACCATTCCTCTAAAAGACACACTAGCGTGATAACATTAGCAGACTATGTTGATTATATTTAGGGGTAAATATATGGGCATGCATTGGGAAAAAAAATCAGTGTTTACTATGTTAGGGTGAATTAGGAAACCAAGATATAACCTGCAGAACTGAGAAATCACCAAAACAAAAAAAAACAGTCTGGGATTTAGGGCGAAAAAGGACATGTTCTGGAAAATCTGGATTTAATTTGCACTCACACAAACCTTTCCAAGCCTGGTATTCATTCTAGAAACAGATTTGATTAAATCTTTGGACTAATTATTACATCCTGTAATTTCCTGTAATTTCCTAACACAGCAGTGACTTTTTACCTTGTTTTGATTTACATTTGCATATATACATTGTTACATAGTTAGTCAGGTTGAAAAAAAGACACATGCCCATCGAGTTCAACCGATAGAGATATGCAACATTAGCTCTTTAGACAATTTAATGGTATGTTTCAGTAGGCCGAAAGAATAAGGGCTGTACGTAATTCCTCTGGGGTCCCATTAGCCTTTACTATTCAAAATAAAGCAAACTTTAGGACATTCTTCAAAAATGTGGTTTATGTACAGTATGTGCTTTTAGTCTCCATTAAATTAAAAGCAACTTCATGCACCATTGGGAGGTTCATTTTTCTTGCAGCATGCATATATGACATCATTATGCAGCAAGAACACTTGTGACATTGCAAATCTGTATAATACATGCTTATACATTCACTTTTGGAAGAAGGGGAGATTATGACGTGCACATATAACCACTATATAGAACCAACACTGAATGTATTGCTATCCACAAAATAGCATAATAAGAGTACAGCCAGTAATTTATAATAGTTACTAATGATGTTAATCCAGTTTATAACTTGTACATAAAACCACTAAAGAGTACAGCTGTATTTCCCAAATAATTAGGATAATGAATATAGCATTCATTGTACAATAATAGATCTGCAGAGGGGGCGGTGTCTGTGCTAAGTGGGTGTTTACCGCTGTGTCCTCTGTGTCTTGTAGGAAATGCAGAATCATCCACTGGTCAGTTGAGTATCCACCATTTCCTTTAGGTCATTACACAGTCCACAGTTTTACCAGCAACTCACTTTGGCCTTGTGAATTTAAATAAGATGTGAAGATCATAAGTTGTACTCACACAGATGGGGGGGCTTTTCTGTATGCATGTCTATTGCTGTAATAAATCTTTCCCAGACATAGTGCTTAATGCATTACACTGGCTTTGATAACTCTCAATTAAATTACTTATGTACCTTTCTTATGCTAGAGTAATAACATCTATGGATCCTGTAGACAATAGGTTAAGAGCACATTACTGCAAAGCAGAAGCTGAATCTTCAAGCAGCATGCAAGATGTGCTTGTACAGCATCTCTCCCTGTATCTGCAGCTTGTCCTTGAATGAATATAGCATACTGCAGCACAGCACATCTCCAGCTTCAGAAGTGGCTGGAAATGTTCCAGTGGTCCTTTACATCTCCAGATCTCCCTCCTCTCATCCTGCACTTACCCATCCTTTTTTCAGCAGCCCGCTCCTCCCCTACAGTCCCCCAGCCCACCATACTGTACCACTCCAGCACATATCATTAATATTTTAGAACTGGATACTCATGGTCATTGGTCAGACTGCAGTGCAGCAGTTTGATAAGAAGCTGACGAAATCTCTGAAAACTGTCACACTGCCACCACCCTACTGAAGATCAGAGCAGCTTAGGTGGGACGCAGAAAAGGCGAAAGGGTCTCTGAAACTTCCCTGTTTATATACAACCAGTATGGATGTCTTTAAGAAAGGTTTCTCCATGGCTAAGGAAGGTGTGGTGGCTGCTGCAGAGAAAACCAAGCAGGGTGTGACTGAGGCTGCAGAGAAAACCAAGGAGGGGGTCATGTATGTAGGTGAGTGAATACAAGTTTTATAAATGTACAGAAATAAAACAATTTTACATGCTAAGCTTAATTAACGTATCCCCCCTCCTACTATAACTTATCCAAGCATGCCATAATCCACCTATAGAGTTCACATATAGAGCAATATTGTCAAGTCTCAGTGACAGTAATAATTATTTGCTGAAAATACCTATATGTTTATTTAAAGAAGTTACAAGTTGACCTTAATACTTGCTTAATGTGACAAAAAATACAGCTAGTATGATTCAAAAGAATAAAAACACAGGAGACAGTCTACATAAAGTATATTACTGTTCTGTAATAATTCCACTACTTTATTATTCTTCATATGTGTACCTGGAAGTATAAAACTAAATTTCAAGGCTGATAATACTTTAACAGAGACAGTAGTAAAAATAGAACACAATGATCAGTTTTGATGCCTGGTTTAAAGGAAAACTGCGGTAATGATAAATGATGCAATTAGATACGTGTGCTTCTGTACAAGAGGACAGCAGAGGTTAAAGGAAATGCTGGTAATTGGAGACAGCCCTGCCCACCCTTTTTGTTCTGTAGAGATGAAATCGTAGATGCTTCTTGACATGAAGAGATCAATGCTTAAATTACATTTCTCAGCACAAAGCTTACAGTTACATCCAAATCTGATAAACCTGGCCTTTTATTAAATGTTCTAATGTGAGCTGTCCATAGTGCTGATCTCTACCTATCTCACTATACCAGGCATGTTCCACTTAAAGGGAAACTGTACTAAGAGATATATGTAGGCAGCCACTGATATTCTTTATAAATTCTTGCTCGAGTCATTGACCTTGGAACATGTATTCAGCCAGTAAAGTCACAGAAAAATAAAAACTCCTGATCTGCCTGCTTACTGCAGATCTGTGACTCTGTAATTTAGAAACCACTGGATCCATATTAAAACCAGGCAACTAACATTTTCAGAAGGCATGGCCAGCCAGTTTCTTAAGGGACAGCTGTGCTGACAGGAGAAGAACTTTTCTCCTGAAAATATTAGTCATATGGTTGTCATACTGATCCAGTGACTTCAATAGTTCGAGTCGCTGACTTAGAACCAAAATGCAATAGGAGTTTTGATTTCACTTGAAGCATACTTGTTTTGGTCGGCATCTTAAAGTGTTAAAATTATTTGATTCGAATTATAGCAAGGTCAACAATGGCAGCCTCCAAATTCCTCTCAATATACTTTAATCCTGAAGCCTAAACATGCAATTTGTCACTCTTTTTCTTCTAAAACACTCAGGTGTGTAGACCAGCCCACCTAAAAAATGCTAACTTCAGTCTATTAGGTGGTAAAATTACTTTTGTGGGGTATTTCTACAAGGCAATGTATAGTTAATAGATTTTTCTAGCATACACGCTGCACAGATTGAATATACAGTATGTCAACATCTTTATAAAGTTTTAAAAAAGCTGCCTACTGCTTGGTATGCCAAGTAGACAATATATAGAGGTAAAGGTACAGGTCGGTTAACCCCAGAAGAAAACCTTATCTGTACCTATATAGCAAATATCATTTTGAAAGAGTTTTCACTGTTATTTGACTTTTTCTGTATTTATAATTTTGTCCGACACTTTCTTACTTCACATTTAACACGATTTAGTAGCTACAATTTACCTACAATGTTGGTGTTATAAAAAAAAAGTACTAAGAGATCAGGTCTCTTGCATTCTATATGGTAAAACTATGTATAAGTTTGACAAAGAATATGCATCTAGCCCTGTGCTGTACAAGATCCAGGCAGATTTGTATGTGCTGTTGGGTGGGGCACAGAGACAAACAATGGCCGATGAGTGTGAAGCTGGGTGTGTCAGAAACACTGCAGTAATAATATTAATTAATTTTTTCCGCCAAAGGGAATTTTCCACTGTGATAACACCCTTATCTGTACTCAGTACATCACAACTATTACATGTTCAGGGACATCTAAAGGCCAATCACACTGCCATCCCATGGAAAATATATTTATGCAGCAACTAAGGTAGAAAACAGCAATGCTTTCAAAGTGCAATGCAAGGCATATAGTTGTGGAGTGCTTTTTCTTCATCGGTACAAATCTATAGCAATGCATCACCTATACACATAAAGCCAATTTTTATACTGTGTATACCAAAGATGAATATTTTTACTGACTGCTTTGTTATTCTGTATTGGGTTCTAGTGAAAAGACAATGAGATATACATACATATAATCAGATTACATGGGCATGGTTAAAGCATTTAATGAAGAAGACAATATGGACAGAATGGTGGAAATATGATATATATAATCTTAGCTCTAACTATGTACTAGGAGGCCCAAGGTTGCTGGATGGCATATAGATAACATTGGGGTGTGTCTGTGAAAATTTCAGATATTAGACATTTCTGTACTTATTTTATAGGCATCTGTTTTACCATGACTATTCATACTGCCAAATTAATAGGTGGATGACTATAAAAATGAATACTACATTTAAAGTAGCAAGTCAAGAAACCATTATAGTTAATGGTTTGCAAAGGTATCCTGGTAATACAAGACTTAAGCTGGCCATACACCTATAGATTTTCTGCAGATTTTATATGGTCAGATGGAAAAGTGCAACAGATTCCTCCATCTACGCTAAACTGTTTGGATGGAGAAATCTCCTGCTGGGCCATTCTCCAGTATCTTGCTAGTCGGCCCCGTTGGCTCTCAAAACACCTGAACAATGCCTGCATCCAATCAGATTGTTCAGGTATTTTGAGAGTTAAGGTGGCCATACACTGTACAACCATCGCAAGACCTCAGTCTTGCGATGGTTGTAAAGTGATTAAATAAACGTACGATCTGCCCATCTTGGACAGGCAGATCGTACTCTCGATCATCGCAAGCCCACCCCCCTGAGGGGCGGGCTTCCGATGACCGCAATGCCGAATGGGCAGTGTGCGCGTGCGCACACCAGCCCGTTCGGCATTTGTCTCCCGAGCACCGCTCAAACCAGCCGAAAATCGTACGATTCTCGGCTGGTTTTCTAGCATGCTCCTTAGACAAAAGACGTGCGACCGTACAGTAGAAACGGTCGCACGTCTTCATTCACACTGCTCGATTCTCGTACGATCGCGTGATTTCCCGTGATTCTCGTACGAGAATCGAGCAGTGTGTGGGCACCTTAAGAGGGCCCAACTAGCAAGATACTGACGCTTGGCCCAGCAGGGAATATCTACATCCACACAGTTTAGTGTAGATGGAGGAATCTGTTGCACTTTTACCATCTGACCATAGAAAATCTGCAGAAAATCTATAGGTGTATGGCTTGAATTGATATTGCTGTGAGGCCTTGGAAGGTGTATCTTATTAGCCTTAAGTCTATGTCAGCAATGCTAAACCACAAGAATGATTTGTGCTGAGTAATGCCCCAAGGAATCCAGGCAATGAGCATAATCAACATGCCAAAAATTCAATAAAGCTTATCCATTTTCAAGTATTTACAAAATATTTAGCATTTGTCCTTTATACAAATTAATTGTGGTTAATTACTAATATAAGGATCATATTTCATACCTTTGGTTTCCTCCTAGTTGGCTATATCATGCCATGTAGTTATACTTCTCAACATAATATGGTAAGTATAATAATTAAAAAAATTCAGACAATAAATTAAAAAAAGAAAAACAATCCTCAAGTAAAATATTATTATGAAGTATATTAAGAGTAAGAGTCAATAGTTATAAGTAATGCTATATAAAATTGGGAACATATGAGCAGAATGCTTTTACAATTTTCCACTTCTACAAGGGAATGAAATAGCTGACTCACTTCTGCTCTGGAAAGTGAATGCACTTAACTATATAGTAGGTGACTTTGTCTTGAATTATTGCTAGCCGGGCTCTACCCTTTGATTTATTTGCAGCTTGCAAGTTCAAATCAAATCATTTCAAACTTGTTTCATGACAGGACAAGCCAGCGTCTTGTCAGAGTATACTGCAGAGGTTTGGGTGTGGCTACCATGCCCTGCTCAGTTCAATTATCCCCACACCTTAAGGAAACCGCATTAGTCTGGGAAAGTATAGCAATACAGGGCAGGGCCAGAATGGATGAGAATTAAATCCAGAAACTAGTTACACCTGTGGGATAGCCTAATAATACTTTTGGATAGTAATTATATAGTCAGGCTGTCTTTGTTAAAGTTTAGATGAATTATTCAGAGAATGCCCACACAATCCTGGTGAAGGGTATACTGAAATCTGTGGTACTTTACATTTAATATCCAATATGCTCATATAAGAAATTATTTGATTTTGCACTGCTCCATTCTTAAGATGCCTCGTTAACAGACTAGGAGAAGGCAAGTCAGCAGACAGTGTTGGCTTTTTTACATTTAAAAAAAAAATTATTTATATTTAATAGAGTGTGTAGCGTAGTCAGTACTGGTATCTGGAGTAAGGAAGGCTATAGCACATCTAGACCAAGTCTAGCCAAGATCGAGTGCAATAAACCAGCCATGGTGCCCTGAGCAAGAATCAGGGAATATCCACTTTCTTTATTCATTTATACATGTAGAAACATGTCAAGTACACAAATAAGGAGAATTACCTATTTAACTTGTGTTTTGACCATCAACCGTGTCTCAGGTTTTTGCAGGATCCTTTTTTCACAGTACAAGGGCATCCCACACAAACAGTGGCAGCTGTTTTTAGAGGGAATACCCAATTAAATGTGCTAAAAACCGAGTGTCATTATTACATCATAACTGTGTCATAAAGGTCAACATATTAAAAAAAACACACAACAATGGTACAACATACCATATGCCTCAGTCAGTTACAAAAGAACCAATTAGAGGACAGGTGACCAGGGTTTCAAATTCAGGCATATTTGGTGCTCTGGCAGCCACCTCAAATGTGTCCTAGCAAAATTATACCTGTGCAGTAAGCTGCATGAAAGGACGTACAATGGGGATTTGCTAATAGAATGTTATAGTTAGGAAACCATATGTGTGACCAAGCACAGGAGAACAGATGGTAAAACTATGAATAAAATCTAGCACGGGAAAACAGGGGATACCACTCAAAAGGAAACAAAAGGTTAAGAGAAGGAGCTAGTGGAAATGAATCCTTCTGCAAAACTAAGGTACAACCACTGAGTGTCAGGAAAAACATTGTAATGTATGTGGTAGGACACGTGTATATGTGAGATAAGAAGATAAGCCAATGAAACAAACTTCTTAAAGTAAACTGGGAAAACGTGGTCTACATGGGGAATGTGTCTGTTAACTCCTAAGCTATACAATAGCATATATAAGAAAAAATGAAAGGATTTGCAAATTAAATAAATATGGTTGTGTATCAAAGGAGCACTAGAGAAAGGATTAGAAATTGAGAAGGATAGACAGGATGTTATTGCTGTGCTTCTTAAACTAGAGCTAAATTGCATCATGGACATGTTTTTGATTGGTCGCCACATGACTGTACAGTAAATGCAGCCTAGTTTGCCACAAATCAGTGGTGAGTGATACAGCACCCAATGTCACAAATCCTTTACCACCACAGTCTGAGACATGGCCTTTAAGCAATTCAGTAAATGTGTTACAGAAAGAGTTCAGTTTCATGGCATGAAAATGTAATTTATATTCCCACCCACAACACCCCCCCTCTCAAAACCTGTGAAACAGCACAGACATGTATGTGGGAATAGAGCACTCGCAAGGCTGGGGCTAATGAAATTACACAGGAAAGGTTGTGAGGTGAAGAGACTCTAATGCTCATTGACGATGTCAAAAAGAAAATATATTTAATGTATTTCTCTCAGCTTTACTGAAGCTTACGGATATGGTGAAGAGCATCCACAATGTGTTGTATGGCCATTGTTGATTTTTTTTGTTTGGCTTTGCTAACATTTACTTTGCCAAAACATGCAGTGAAGGGAAAGGAGCTCACCGGGACAGGAAGGTACAGAGCATAATACAACCCTAGATAAGTTCTAACATTTCCCTGCTCTATTTTAAAGTGCTATTGTTGATGCATTTGTCCCCATTTGAATGATTTCCCATTATTATCTGTACCTTTGAAACCCTACACAATAGCAGCAAAGCAATAAAACACCTGATGGGTGTTATAACCCTTCCTACCTATCAAAAATAGGCTTTGGCTAGCATAGGGCTTTAGGCATTTTGGAATAATAGTTTTTACTCTCAGAAAGCAGAGTTTGGAATGGAGAAAGAAAGCTGCTTGGAGTGCAGGTATAAAACTGTGTTTTTGCAGTTAATGTATGTAATGGTTGAAAATATATATATGTAACAAGGTGCAAGATCCCTTTATTTGGTAGTTCTAACCACAAGTTGATTAAGTTCCCTGCCTGTACATCACCCTAGCTTAGCAGGGGTATGTAATGAGGTGGTGGGAGGAGAGGAAGAGATTGTTCAGTCCAGAGTTAGGAATGAGAGGTCTGTTTATTCTGTAGAAGATGGAGATCCCTCAGACCACAATGTAGTGGCTTGGTATAATGCTTTCTACTAGTTGGAAGTTATTCCTTTACATGCCAAAATTATAGACTCTAAATTGTGAGTAAAATGTAAGTGCTGTATCTTACCTCCTGATAGCAGGAAACACCTAAAAGAAGTGAAAGCAGAGGAAGTTCTGTCCTGTTCATGCAAAACATTGTCCTCTGCACTGACAGGATGTTTATCATATATGTGAAGATGTACACAATTTGCAAACCACAAGTAAAGGTTATTTTATGCAAACAAGTATGCTGAACTGGTCTCCTAATTCTTCTGGAAGATAAGTG